CTATCATATCATCTGCATGGAGAGATAATTTTACCTCCTCTGCCAATTTGGATACCTTTTATTTCCTTCTCTTACTGCTATCACTAAGACTTCCAATACAATATTGAATAAGAGAGGTGATAGTGGGCATCCTTGCCTAGTTCCTGTTCTTAAAGGGAATGCCTTTAACCTCTCTCCATTGAGAACAATGTTGGTTCTCGGGTTTGCATGAATACTTTTTACTATATTGAAGAAATTCTCCTTTAATCCTATTTTGTTGATTGTTTTAATAGGACTTCATTCTTGACTTGCCTTTGGCTTTGTCAACATCCCAATTAAATGTTAAAACACTTCCCCCCCCCCTTATTGCAAACTTAGTATATCATGGCATTACCATAATGGAAAATAAACAGGTGCTGATGAAGTCCTTGCATTCAAATACTGTCTACCCCCCAGTGGACTGGTAATGTGTGATATAAGTGGATAGCTAGAGCAATCAGTGATTTAGAGAAATGAGGGGATGGGTTGATAACAGTGACTGTAACCATGGACCCAAACATATCAGAGATCCTTTGTTCAGATCTGTTGTTCATAGGGTTGCTAAGAGTTGTCGACTTATGGCAGTTAACCAGTAGCGTAATTACATAATCCCCTTTAATTTTGACCAGCAAATGTTCATGAAAACACTCACGTTTCTGAGACTGGTGCACAGCTCAGACTTTCCTCCTGACCTGAAGCGAGTGCCTGTCTGTCATGAAATTCAGCCCAAACAAGCGATTTTGTTGTGTTCTTTTAGGTAGTGTTGCCTTTTGTCCTGCCAGGCTTTTAAGTTAGTTGAGACCAATTTTCTCTTTCTAACTTGGTTTTTAAGGTTGATTACCTGCAACTTTGCTTCTAGGATTGATTTTCTTTCCCTCAAGTAAACACATGCCCTCTGTGGATAACCCCGTTCCTTTTGTGTTAGAAGTTCTTTCTACTCTGGCCTGTGAAAGTGTAATTTGCCTCCAATCCTGTGTGAACTTGGGTCATTTTTCAGTGCTTTTCCTGTACTGTGAGTTCAGGAAAACTGTAAGTTCACTACTTAGCCATAGTCTTGGAGGGACCCCACTAAGACTTCTCTGTGCTGCTCCGTCCTCTTTAGTATTCTTCCCTGAAACTTCAGTCCACTCTAATGTTCTCGAAACATCAAGCTACCTTGTTTCTTTGACCCAGAAAGACCCCTGGGATTTCCAGGAAATCTCTAGACTAAAAGCCTAAAGCTACCTCCAGGCAGCAAACTGTAGCAATCCTTGGGCCCATCTGTTTGTTTCCTTTCTCTCAGTGATGGTACTGCCTACTGACCAGGGTCAAATTTCCTGTATTTTTCTGGTTTTTCTTGTTGCTTAAAGCTTGAAGGTAATTCTAACAAAATGGATATAAATCGATACCTGCCTTTACTTTTAGATCAGAATTCTTTGGGCTTACATTTCTTTACAGAACAAGATTATTTTTTGTTTCTGAAGGGTGGGTCATTTTAAACATTCCACCCTACTGTTCTAGAAGAGTGAGAATTGTTTCTTTTTTTAAAAATGTGGAATGTTACTTGCTAGGTTTTTACCAAATAGCATTTACATAGCAAACCTCACAATTAAAAAAATAGCAGGAAAACCTTTGCTTTAATACAGCAATTAGTAAAATTGTTTGACTCAGAATGTCTTTTGTCATCTACACTTACTAACATAAAGTATGCTTTAAAAAATACTGCCACAAAGAATTACATTTTTTGGTTTCTATGGTCTTCATTACTAGTTTAGTGGCTGAATAATAAATACACAAGATAAGGCGCTCTGGTGTGGCATCGTCGCTAAATGTTCAGCTACAACTGAAATGTTGGCAGTTTGAACCCACCAGTAGTTCCACAAAGAACTGCCAATTTGTTCTTGAATGGACTACAGCCTTTGGGATAGTTGTCTTTTCTTGTACAGGGATTGATTCCACGGAACCTAACAATAATGTAGACATTAAAACACATTACTGTAACATTATTGCGGCTATAAATGAGTACTGTAGTTATGCTCAATTAACACATAACAGCTTTTTACATATACTGAGTTCTTTTTCTCATCACAGATTTCTAAAAGTAGGATTATTCAACTAGAAAGTATAGAATGTTTTTCATTGACTCTGAATATGTAATCGTAATGTATTTTTCCAAAGACATGTATTCGTTTCTGTCACTGATAATATGGGCTACCAGGATTGGAGGGTGCTCTGGTGTCTTGTCCATAGATGGAAAGTTGTGCTGCTCGCCCAAAGGTTGAACCTCTCTGGACGTTCATAACCCACCAGAGGCTCCTTGGGAGAAAGGCGGACAGTCTGCTTCCATGTGATTTACCGCCTGTGAAACCCAGTGGAGTACCTGCCATGAGTTGATTCTGACTTAATGGCAGTGATTTTGGATTAGACACCCTTACCAGCACCGAGTATTGTTTTTAGATCCTTTATTGAAGGGAGAGAAAATACGTCATTGTTGGCAACTTCAGCTGGTAGATAAATGGAGAAGCCTCATGAATAATTTATTATCAGTATTAACCAGGCATAAATTCTACCATAGTTTTATCACATAAACTAATGGTTACCAGTATAATAGTTTCATATCTGGGAATGTGATGTTAAATACTTTTATCATTAAAGATCAGTAAGCCTGCATTTCCTGCTCAAGTCTTGAACCTTTTTGAAAAAAATGTGGTCTGCCATAATTCTCTTTATTTTGAAACAGTGTGACTATGAAAATGTTCCAACAACTGTGTTTACACCTTTGGAGTATGGAGCCTGTGGCCTTTCTGAAGAGAAAGCTGTGGAAAAATTTGGGGAAGAAAATATTGAGGTGAGTTCTGGTTTTTTGGTTGTTTTTTTTTTAACTATTATGCTAAAGTTCTACTCTTTTCTTCAAATTGTGTAAGTAATTTCAGCATTACAAAAAAGCTGAAACATAGTACAAAGACCTTCCATAATCTTGTTTTCAGATTTGTGTATTGCATTTTACTCATTTGCATTATACTTTTCATACTGTTTCTCAGTCTCTGTATCTGTACACATATGTGTATCTTTTCTCCTAAACCATTTGAGTGTAAATGGAGTGCCCCATTGCCCCTAAATACTTGAAGATAGATTTTTTTGTTTTATAACCACAATTTAGTAAACTACTTTTAGGGAAATTAATACTACTTTAATGTGATCTTCCTTCCATTTTCCAATTTTGTCAGCTAACTCCATAAAATGTTTCCTCCTTTTAAAACCACATAGTGGTTTCTTTTATGAAGATACTGTTGTTGGAAATATGAAAAAGTAAAGAAACTGCAAAAGGAAAAGTAGAAATACTAGCTACATGTCTACTGCCTTGCTAGTAGAATTAACTTCTTTTACATTTTTCCATTTGCCTTTTATGTGAGAAGGATGATGCTAGTTTTTTTTTTTTTAAATAAGTAAATAATGCTATATGGGCGTGAAAGAAATCCATTCCCACTGAGATCTTAAAGAATGTGTCCCCACAACAAAGGCACCACATCTAGTGAGATTTTTTTTATGACATGGAGAAATGTTGATCTATAAAACTCTGACAGGGGGAAAAAAAGAATGTCAGTGAGTTGGCCCATGTGCATACTATCTTATTATTTAGCTTTACTGTAGTGTAAGACAAGCATTTTACAGAAAGGAGCAGATGAAAGACATTTCCCAATTATAGAATCAACCGATAGATTGAGTGTTGCTCCTTGCCCTTGGCACATGTGTCTGGACCCACTTCTTTCACTGTTCCACCAGCATCCCCTTCCACCTTCCACTCCTGCCTATGTCATTCAACACCTCTCTTCCCCTATCCAGCCCTTGATCAGTTCAGGTCTCAAGCTTTCTGGGCTTTTGTGATGCTGAACGCCTTGTGCTGCTGCCAGTATATCTTGAGTTTCGGACCTCTCCAGAGTACTGAAGAGCAACATTGTCAGTCTGGAGACTAAGGTGTATCTGATCCAGGCCATGGTCTTACTTGGCTATGTATCAGAAGGCTGGACAATAGGGGTGATAGAAGAATTGATTCCTTTGAGCTGTGGTGCTAGAGAAGAGTATTGAACATACCATGGACTGCTAGGAGAACAAACAAGTTCATCCTAGAGAGGGTGAAACCAGACTCTTCCTTGGAGGCAAGGGTTCTGAAGCTTTGTCCAACATACTTTTGGACATGTTTCAAGGAGGGACCAGTCCTTGGAGAGGACTTCCATGCTTGGGAAGGTGGAGGGACAGTGCAGGAGAGGAAGAGCCTCAATAAGATGGATTGATTCAGTGATTGGGGTAATGGGGGTAGGTGTGTCAGAGACAATGAGATTGGCACAGGATAGAGTAGGGTATAGGGCTGTTGTACATAGGGTTGCTATGAGTCGCAAATAATTCAATGGCACATAACAACAACAGTCATAGGCCTCTGCTACGCAGTAATTTAAGATGATATCCTTAATTGTATTTTTTCCTGTTTGTGATGTATACATTCTATTACAACGTGGACCCGACTCATAGCTGACTCTCTGGCAAGTTTTCTGAGGCAGTTAATCTTGCAGGAGACTACTCATCTTTCTCCCACAGAGCAGCTGGTGGCCTTGAACTGTGTACCTTCGGGGTTGCAGCGCAGCTTCTTTCCACTAGGCCACCAGAGCTCCCTATTACAGCATGAAATATTTATTATAATATCATAATCAGTGTATTTTTAAAGAATAGCCAGCTAAATGAATTTTGAACTGAAGGAGAGGGGGAAATAGTCTTTTTGTCATTTGGACTTAAGTTGATGAAGACTCTGGAAGGATGTTCCACCACCCTTTTCCTTCTCTCTTGCTATTTTTGCTTCACTTTCTTCCTTCTTTCCCATCTTTCCTTTTTTTTTTTTTTTAAGTCTAAATGTTAATTTTTAAATGGTGAACCATTGAATTGCTTCAATTGTTGGAGGTCATCACTTCTTGCGCACATTATCCTTCCCACATAAAGGAACAAGACAGTGCTGTTTATTTTAATGGCTTCTTTCTCATTTAATCGCCCTTTGTTGTTGTTAAAGTTTACTCTCAATGAGTCTGAAGGATAACCAACGGATAAGCTAATAACAAAACGACCGCGAAGTGAAAGAGTTTAAAATCATGTATTTTCTGACCAAATTTCTGTTTAATCCATGAATTATATTTTATTTCATGAAAGTCTTAATTATTAGAAACCTCTCCTGCCTTTGTGCCACACCCACTGTTTACTAAACTTAAGATAACTTGTGCTTATATCTCCTTAGGTTTACCATAGTTACTTCTGGCCATTGGAGTGGACCATTCCATCCAGAGATAACAACAAATGTTATGCAAAAATAATCTGCAACATCAAAGACAATGTGAGTGCCATTCCCATCTGATACCCACAGAGATTTTTCATTGCGTAGTTCACACTTGTTTCAGTAGTTTACCTGTCTGCCCAGCTGCGCACACGTGATTAGAGGGCGGGGACCACAGCCCATCAGCTGGACCTCGCTCATCCCTCACTGGCTAGTCAGGCAGTCACCACTGAGTGCATGATCCAAAGGAAGTCTTAGGTGTTTGTGCCTATAAAAAGAACAGTGAAGTCACCGCTGTCCAAAAAGAATGAAAATCAAAAAGGAGCAAAAGTAACAGACGTTTGAGTCCCTAAGCAGCTGAAAACAAATGGGCTCTGATTTTAAAATTTCATTGCCCATTTACTCTGTGGAAACCCTGGGGACTGAAAGTCAGTTTAGAGGCAAAATCCTTGACCTCTGAGATCTGAGAGTTTGTTTTCTTACTAACAAAATGAAGAATACATTGATGTTATTTTAAACTTTTTTCACTTCTGCGCATAAGAAAGAACGACATTTTACTTGGTAAGCAAGGACACAGATAGGAACCCATACCTATGAACCGGTATATAATCAAGTTTTACAACTGAGGCTTTAGTGGTTTTTAAAAAAAATTTTACTTGAATTTTTGTTCTTAGACTCATCATAGCCCTTTTATCTGGAGCCTTGATAACCAAGTAGACTTAAAGACATCCCTGCCCTTCAGTAACATTTTCCAGGAATTTTGATGCTTCAGAAGCTCTGGACAGTTTTAGTTTTAATATTTTTCTTTTCAGCACTTGCCTCTGCCTTCCTTGGTTGGAACACCAAGCATTCAGTATTAGCCCACGTCAGGGAGTCTTTAGCCTAAACAGCTTTACTACAAGCCACTGGTTATTTGTAAAATACATAGTTTCAGACAAGGCTGGGAAAGTGTACCAGGCTGTGTAGGAAGAAAAGGGAGGTGAGGGGCAGAAATGTCAGCTTAGCTGTGTCGCTTTTTTTCTACTTTGTAGGAACGTGTCGTGGGCTTCCACATCCTGGGTCCAAATGCTGGAGAAGTGACACAGGGCTTTGCAGCGGCGCTGAAGTGCGGCCTGACCAAAACGCAGCTGGACAGCACGATCGGAATCCACCCCGTCTGCGCAGAGGTGAGTGGCCAGCACCGCGTGGCTCCCTTTACTAATGTGCTGTGGAAACGAGGGTCCAGTGGCACAGCTGGGCTCCAGGCCTCCTACTCTTCCCACTGTGCTCAGGCCGCTTTTGTACCCCTTGTCAATGACGAAGCATAGCTCAGAGAAGACCATGTCTCTCACAGTTTTTTCTTCTTTTAAATATTTATCAGTCCTGGTGTGAACTGGTCCTTATTGTTAACTTACTTAAAGTGATGGACTGATTTCTAGAGATAGTCCTCAGATTTTTAATGTATAATATCTGCTAAGTTATTTTTCTGACAGTCTGTTGACGCAGTTCCCATGGAGAAAGAGCTTACATCCTCTTTACCTCGGAGCCACCTTGAGGGTAAATGTCTGCCTTTTCAGCTTTGGTTATTAAGGCGTGAGATTTGGAAGTGATACTTTTGAGAGTTCAGGCAAGTGGCAGAAGTGGAGATCGCTTGGTCTGGGCCACTGGGTGTCACTGTTTCTTCACGCTTAGGAGTGATCGTCACAGAGCAAGCTGCCGTCAAACCACAGAGAAGAAAACAAAATACACCACATGGGAGGGTTTGGTCTCCATCTGGAGGACACACCTGGATTATAGAGCTTAGAGGGAGTTCCAGTTATTAACAGGCCACTGTACCCAGTGGTGTCCATGGTGTTCTTGATGCTGCGTGTGCGCGTACACACACACACAGACACGTGTGCACATCCATGTCTTGTCTCACGGGGCAGGTTGTTAACTGGATGCCCTCTGCTCTTGGTTGCCCTTGTACAGCTCACTCGTGGCTGAGTCTTTGAAATGTCAGTTTTGAGACCTGAAAATGTGTCTTTGATTCCTTTTGATCTGCCTTTTGTGTCCTGGTGTATGATTAGTCACTTGGCAGATAGAAGCATAAAATACTAGTATGTTTAGAGATGAGGGCATCATTCATAAATGCTGTTTTTGTGAATGAAGACAAAAGGAAGCATTAAAAACAAAATGTGAAAATCTAAAAGCACCTAGGTTACAGCCCATAGATAATATATGGGACATCTCTTATTCACTGCAGTGACTAAGACTGCCTGCCTAGGGAAGAAACTGGTTAAACGTCCTTGTTTTCCAAAATACCCTTAGTGGAGACATGTAATAATTTTGGTGCCAGTGCTGGGTGTTCACCAGCTGCAGCAGCCATCCATGGCAGATGTGAGCAAGAGTCATTTCCCACCTTGTATAGAAGAGCGCTTCACATCAGCTCCAAGTGGGCTGATGGAGAGAAGGTTGCTGTGCGTGCCTGCTTGGAAATGTGTTGCCACCCGGTGGCAGTGAACACAGTTTCATCTGCAGCGCTGCTGGTAGCTGGGCTGAAAGATGCGGAGAAGAGGCAGGGCATCCTTCTGCTGGAAGTCCGCCAGAGTCCTGTTCGCCTGGCGCGGTGGTGGTATTGACCCCTTATTAAGGATTTGATGCCATGTTGGTCCTCTTAAGAGATTGACAGAGGCTCACTGTTCCATTGTTTTCATAATGGGGTTTTCCCCTTTCTAGTCTCATCTCTGATTAATGAAATGCTAAAGATTGGGTGACATCTCTCACTGGACAGATTTGAGCTCAGCTGTGTGCATAGCCTTGTGCTAGGCAGTGTGAGCAGATGGCAGTGATTTGACAGGAGCCCCAGGGCAGGGAGCCAGTGAGTTCTAGCATCAGAATGACCCCTCCACATCTTTAGGTAATGGATATTGAGATAGAGTGATTTCTGAGGGGACGGATACAACTCATGCAGTTGAAAGACCCTCAGTATTGCTTGTTGAAACAGGGAATTTAAAGAGAGAAACCAAAATAATCAGACTGGAAGAAGTAGGTGGGAAAATCATGGGACTGTAGCTGTGACGCGTTGGGCTTCAGCTGAAAGCTTAAGGCAGGGTCGTGGCATGACCGTGCGGATCATTGGGGACCTGACAGGGAGGAGCTAGCGTGGACAGTGTGACGGCAATGTGGCTGTGTTTGAAGACTGACTGTGTGCCCCGGGGTTCTCACAAGGACACCATGAGGCTGCTGGTATAAGGCTGCAGATCACCGGAGAAGGTTGAGGACAGAGGCTGTGGTTCGACCAGTAGTTTCCAGGCACACCAAGCTGGACAGGTGCTGGTCTGCTCCCCTGGGTGGTCTTACCATCTTTGTGGCGTAAAATTTAAAAATTGGAAGTGATTTCTTGGTAACAACATACATGCAGTTGTGACATTAACCTGACCATGTCACCCAACTTTTCAGAGATTTGATTTCCCCTTTCTGTAAAGCAGGGTTAATCTAATTGCTCGGGACTGAGTAGCAGTGGTGTGTAATGTGGCTCAGGGAGTTTCTGACATCTGGAAGATGTTCAATATCTACATCTGTTAGCTCTGCTTTTGAGTATTTAATTATAGAAAATGTGACTTGACTGAAAGGATTTCAAATGAAAGTTGAGAGGGTGGTGGTTGTTAGTAGGTCCTGTGGAGTCGGCTGTGACTCATAGTGACCCTGTGACAGCACACAGATCGGGGCCTCCCCACGTCCGGCACCGTCCTCATGATGGCCGGTACGCTCGAGCCCACTGTTAAGTCACGGTGTTACTCTGTCTTATTGAGAGGGTCTTGCTGTCTTTCTGGGGCCCTCCACGTTACCTAGACTTTTAAAATATCTCCTGGTTATGAACTGTTTGCTCAGAAACTAGATTTTAGGAAACCAGAGGTTCCCTCATCGCTCGCTGTGGGCATCTTCTCTGTCACCTTAGATGGAAAGTCAGCGTCCCATAAGCAGTGGGTGTCTCTTTCCCCTGCCCTGTCCCCCGTAGTGAGCGCTGAAAAGCTTCAGTCTCTACATAGAGCTTTCCTGGTGATTTCATCTACGTGAGATCATACCTTCTTCTGGGCACGAGCTTATTCCACTTAGTATCCCCCCTCCCCCCCCAGTTTATAAATGTTGTTGTACGTATTAGAAATTTGTTTCTCTTTAAGGCTGAGTTACATTGCATGATGTATTCAGGCGTTCCTCTTTTTATTTTGTCAGTACTGCTTCTTTGTTCTGGTGGTGGTTTGGGTTTGCTCCTTCTTTTAATTTTTATTCAGATTGAAGGTTTCTATCAGCCTTGCGTTGAGGAAACATTGGTGCAACGTTTCCCGCAGCATATGCTTTCTTCGTGTCTCCACATGCCTATATACCACGTTTCATGTAGTCATTCTTTACTTGATGGACATGTGGGCTGTTTCCATCCTTTGTTGTGAGTACTCCTGCAGTGTCTATTAGTATACATGCATCTGTTTAAGTTCCTGCTTTTAATTTGTCTAGGTAGGGCTCTAGGAATAGATGGTATACCAGCTGGCATATTTCAGCTAACAGGTGCTTCCCTGGACATGCTCACCAAGTTGTGCCAAGAAATCTGGAGAACAACCATTTGGCCAACTGACTGGAAGAGATCTATAGAACAACCATTTGGCCAACTGACTGGAAGAGATCTATATTTGTTCCCAACAGAGTGTGGAAACTATAGAACAATAGCATTGATTCCACATGCAAGCAAGATTCTACTGAAGACTATCCTAAAACGACTGGAACAGCACATCAGCAGAGAACTGCCAGAAGTCCAGGCTGCATTTAGAAAGGGTCGTGGTACTAGGGATATTGTAGTTGATGTTAAATGAATCTTAGCTGAAAGCAGGGAATACCAGAAGAACATCTATCTGTGTTTCATTGATTATGCAAAGGCGTTTGACTGTGTGGATCATAACAATCTGTGGCTGATTCTGAGAAGAATGGAAATCTCAGAACACTTGATTGTGCTAATGCGAAACCTATTAGACCAAGAAGCAATCGTCAGAACAGAGCAGGGAAACACTGCATGGTTCAAAATGGGGAAAGGTGTGCCCCAGGGATGTGTCCTACCGCCATGCCTTTTCAACCTGTATGCAGAAGAGATTATCCGGGAGGCTGGGCTCTATGAGGAGGAATGTGGGGTCAAGATTGGTGGATGATCTGTCAACAATCTGCGATACGCAGATGACACAACCCTGCTTGCAGAAAGTGAGGAGGACCTGAAGCGCTTGCAGCAGAGGGTCAAGGACTGCAGCCTTCAGTATGGTTTGAGGCTCAATATCAAGAAGACAAAGATT